AATCAAGGAGTAGGGGAGGGACACCTGGGAGGCTGAAGGAGGAGGGGGCTGGAGAAACGATGGGGTGAGTGGTGGGGAGGAGGGCTGGGGGCCTGGGCATGGCTGTTATCCAGCGGGGCACACCAGCACCAGCTCTTTATTTTCACTTCCAAACTCCGCTCCCAGCCCTCTATCTCTCCTCGCTGCTCAATGACCTCGTTGTGCCCCTGCCTTGTGCTTTGCAAGCGGTTTGATGCTAACGGTGCTGCCAGGCTCGGAGGGCATCCAGGAGGGCACAGCTCTGCCCTTGCTCACGGTGCCAGGAGCCGGGCAGGGCATCGCTGAGTGAGCAGGGGGATGAGAGCTGGAAACAGGGAGCTGTTCCTGGCAGGGACACTGGGAAACTGCTGCTCGACCTTGGCTCGGAAATTGACAAGTGTGTGTTGTGGAAACAAGCCCTGGACAGTGGTGGTGCTACCGTTAAGGATTTCCCCCCGTTAATATTTTTCTTTGTTTTTTTAAATGTTAGTTTTGGGGTTTTTTATTACTACCATCATTTTAATTGCTCTTGCTTCTAAATTCTTCTTGATTCCCCCCTAAAATCTGACAGAATTAAATTTGCCACTTAAGATTTTGGCTCACACAGAGTGTGTGTTGCTGTGGCTGCTTATTTTTCATCCCATTTTAACTAATTATTTGATAAAAGTTAGCTGACATTGTGCCTATCTCCTTGTTGTGTTTTGATGGAGATAAAATTGTCTTTGCCTAATTTCTCTTAAAAGGATATAGACAAGGATTTGTGTCTTTAAAATCAGGAACTGGGCATGATAAGAATGTAAAATGAAGGTGTTAAAATGGTGTTAGGTTGGGCAGTAGTGATATAACTGAAAATATGTCTTCTGCTGAGGTAAGTCTAGGTAGGGAATGGCCTCACTTAGTTTTGTTCTGCAGCCAGACCCTCTGACCTTGGCAGGAGAAAGGGGTCAATTTTAACAGTGCTGTGAGAAGCCTTTTGGACTGAATTGCCAGAAAACTTCAAGTTAACTTTTCTTTCTTTTTCACTACCAAGTCAGGTAGTGAAAATGAAGTTGAGTTTGCAAAAGTGTTTGCAGCCTTATGTGGGTGGGAGGCTGTTCTCTGTCACATGGGTTGCAGCATGTCTGCCATGCTGAGCTGGGCTAGCAAGCATGGAGCAAGAAGAGGAAAAGATGGACTTAAAACCTGCTTAATTCATTTCCTTCCACTTCTGGTAATTGGTCTCTATACAAAGGGTTGACTTGTTTAGGGGTGCTCTCCACCTTTGTTAGTGTTTGTGGAAGATTGTCTAGTGAAGCTTTCAGGGTCAGGCAGCAGATTGGAGGTTTTGTCATTTAGTGATAGGGTTTGGGTTTTAAAAATGTAAAGTCAACATACAAGTGCTGACTGCCTGGACTGGAGGGACATTGCAGTGAGGTAACTGACAATACTATCATGGAAACTAACAAATGGGGAGGTTCATAGTGAAATACACACCAGAAACTGATGTGGCTGATGTAACTGACAATATTCTGTGCTATCATAGAAACTCACAAATGGAGAGATTCATAGTGAAATACACACCAGAAACGGACAATACTTCTGTGCTATCATAGAAACTAACTAATGGGGATGTTCCCAGTGAAATACACAGCAGAAACTGACGTGGCTGGTTCTGTGTTTCAGCTCACTGAAGATGTAGTGAACCGGATGAAAGGATCCTCTCCGAGCAGAAGGGAGATCCAGAGATCTCCCCGTGCATCCAATGGCACAGCTCCCTCCTCCCTGGCTGCAGAAGGGAAACCCAGACCTACAGGTACTCAGGGGTGCTGCTGCCACTGCATGTTACAGGGTAGTTTTCAGTGCTACCCCTTTGTGAGAGGAGGTCTTTGCTTGCTCTGGGATAATTTCTAGCATTTCAGGTTAATGTGCAATAAACAAGGCAGAAATATTTTGGTTTTAATTTCTGGCAAGCTGCCTTGTTGTCTGCTGTACACGCACAGGTTGTATATTGGGCATGGGTGAGGGAAGTGCTACTTTTTATTTTTTTTGAAAGGGAACGATAACCTGTCCAAGCACCGCTGGCTAAGTGGATGATGATAACTTGGTTTCTGAACTTGTCTTTATTTACATGTCAGAAAACTGTTTTATTTCTGTTGGTTCTCAAATAGGCTTTGGTGATGTATATCAGCAGTGTGGATTTGTTAAAGGCATTCAGACTAAAATGAAGTTGGGGAACTAGGCCTTTGCTTCTAGGGATTTGTTTGCTGTCAGCCTGTCTTTCCTGAATGTAGATTTAGCTTTATGGATAGCCCAAACTCCATCAAATAATTTCATCTTCACTTGTGGAATCCCTTTTAATTACAAGGAGAGAAGGAGGTCAAGAGGAAGACTTGCTGGAACTAGAGGAGGGAAATGGAAAGTAGGTCTACAGCCATGCTTGTATTTCATTATATATAAGGGTTTGAGCAGTTAATATCCTC